TAATAACAAATAGCCTGTTTCACGCTACACTAATAATATATTTGTTCAATGCTATATTTAAGTCCTACACTTACGCTGTATTTTTATGTATCGATGGCTGTGATTGGTTGATAATTTTAGATTTTATATAGAATCAAAGATAAACTGATATGGGGAAATTTCGTCTGGAGAAGAGGGAACTTCCTCCACCAAATCGGGGTAAAATCGTGCATTTTGACAAGCATGGGGCAATTTCACGTTAATTTAATATTTGAAGTAGTTATCCGTCGAAGTTTCAAAAACTGTGTCATAAATATGCTGGAAGCGAAATACTAATAATAACCGTAAATCCATGTGTACTGACTCGTAGTGATATTTTATTTATAAAATAATCAAAAGGCCGATATACGCCCAAAGACGCGGTTGTTTATTATTTTATTACAAATAAAGGTAAACAAATAGTGTGTGTGTCAGGGTTTGAATGCTAAGGGTATTTGGTAGGTAAAAGTATATAAGTGAGTTGGTAGAAGGTTTAATTTTGAAAGACAATAATAAAATATTCTTTTGAAGTTGTCCCATTATCAGTCGTCATTTTATTCGAAACAATAACAAGTTAAAGGGAGGGTACTATCCCTTAAAATTATTGAACAGCAATTGGCATCTATTAAATTTCACTATTTCTTGCACCACATGCAAAAAAATGGCAGATTTGGTTCAACTACAGTTGATGCGGAAAGACAATTGAAGTGTGTCCATTGCTGGCAATTGTCACACTGGACCCACGACTCCTTGTTACCGGCACCAGATGTAGGTTTGTCTGAGTTCCTCTTTTTGCAATTCAAACATTTTTTTGGTTTTTGAGTTTGCATTCAATTCTGCTTTCTTTTTTCTTATACTATCCTCTTCTCCACATCCTCTTGCTTTTAAAACTTAGCTGCTTCTTCTTCTTTCTTTTTATTTATTATATCATCAGATGTTAATAACCTACACTACAGCTGGTAATAAGACGCGGATTGGGGAAAACGGAAATATTCAACACGACAAGAATCCTTTAGTAATGTTGCCGAGCGTCACGGGCCGGGTGTAGGCCAATCTGTACAACCCAGGCAAATTTGATTTCCTAATCAGGGGTGTCATTACGGGCCGACTGTCGGCGAAAAATGAGGCCTATTTGACTCCAGAACGGTCAGAAAATCAACGGTTTTAAATTATCCTAGGCAAAATTCTTTTGAGAACCATTCTTCGCCAAGGATGTCTTCCATCCAGGCTCTACTCTGGTAGGTCCACATGGTCCCAGTTGGCCTATCGTCGACAGCCCAGGCATTTAATGATTTTGCAGTTTTGCCTCAAACAGTGATCATTGGGATTTGTTCTCCCATGGCATTTACGGTCACTAAAGTTGTAACACTCTACCGCCTCTCCTGCGAGTTACTTGTTCTGGCAGGGATGGATTTACTTCCCTTTCGAGCCAAGACGGATTGAGGAGTGTGCTCCATCATAACCCCTGTTTCCTCCATGTTCCAAATGTATTGGAAATGTTGCAAATTTAATTCATCCATTGTACGTTTCAAAAGTTCATACGAACTCTGGATTTTCTTAAAGAAAGCTCAGGGTGACACTTTTAAATCCATCCCACCAATCGGACCCAGTGACTCCGTTTTTAAAAGGAGGACAGAGTTTTAGATTTTCAACTTCTTTTCCTGTTTTGCTCATTAGTTGTAACCGTGAAATGCTGAAGCCCATAGATGCTGCTTTTGTAACCTTCTCAAGCTTCTCTGGTAGGGTTGGTGGGCGCCCAATTCCAGCCCCAGGCTCAATCTTCCCTTTTAACATGGTCTCTTAGCTATCCCATGTCTGAGGTTCGCCTGTGAATATGTCAATGAACCTGAAACAATTGATTGCACGGCATCTTCCATGGTCTTAACATCGTGTGATTTATAAGCACCTTTTTTAGTATAACTATGTGGCATTTCTGAAAACAATAAAATAAAATTTAAAAAAAACAGATTGGCTAACTACTGATATGATTTACATCATGATGATTTATTTTGTACTAAAATTATGACAGTTGGATATCGATAATAAGAGTAGGCTTATGTCGCTCTCCTGGCAAAAATTCCCTCATTGCACACTACATGGCGTTTGCCCTTCATTAGACCAAACAGATGCAGAAAGGTGCAGAGAAAGTGGGCTTTTTCTGCATTTGTTGGGGCTAATGAGGACAGACAACACAGTGTGAAATAAGGGAAATTATCATTATTTTTCATGTGTAATAAAATTAGTACTAAGAACTTTTAAGATAGCTTACCAGGAAAGGTAATATACGCCCACTGGCAGCTTTGATTTTGAATAAAAATATTTAGCAGTACAGTAACAATCACCAGTATGAAATATCCAACCTTCTGTCATACACTTCTTTTGAACTCTGAATAATATTGATTATGAGTTATTGCCCTTGTTTTTGAAAACATGTTCAATTTTTAGCTCGTGAAAACTCTAGAAGGCAAATATTCAATCTTCATCATTACATACTTGTTATGTTGTATCTAAGATTTTGATGTCATAAATCTTCTGAAGTCATGTTATCAAGAATCAAATTGCCTCCCACCATTTTGTGATTTGACTTTTCTCTTGTTATGTGGTTTCTAAGATTGTGACGTCATAAACCTTATGAGGTCATATTGTAATTTTAATCTTAACTGCCTTCCACCATTTGTAGTTTGTTTCTTCCCCTGATGAAGTCAAAACTTTTTTGACAAAACGTTGGGTATTAAAGGATGGTATTTGATGTTAAGTTTTATTATTTATTACACCAAGTTCAGTATATATCAAATCGCTGTACTACTAGTGGTATTGGTGATCCCATCAAAAAGTCTTCTGTGATTGGTTATTGCTGCCTGCTTTTTCTTTTTGGAATCACCACAGTTTGTTCAAGCAGTTTCGTATCATCAAGTGTTTCACCTGATAAATCATCAATCCAGAAAATTAAGGAAATAAACGCAGTTAGAAAGGAAGCAATGAGGTTAGTGAGGTTTAAAGAACATTTACAATTTTCACTGAAATGCAAGGAAATCTGGTTCCTAAATGGTTACAGTTGAAAGTTAACCCTCCCTGTGACACAACAGTAAGTGGCAAATGGACTTCTATTTTACATAAAACTTCAAGGGATCTAATCAGGGAAGCAATAAACATCTTTAAAACAAAATTACTGATACTGAGAATAATTTGAAAACACTTGAAGAGACTACATTACACTCGGAAGAAGATTTTCAACATAAGGTTCAACTAATACAGAAGAGTTGTGATAAATTAAGAAATTCCATAAGACGCACCCAAAACAGAATATTAACATCATTGACGCCGACAGAAATTCACCCCCCTGACACTGTGAAGAAAAAGACAACCAGACGATTTGATAAGAAGAAGAAATGTGCCAGAATTGCTAAATTGGTCAAGTTGTCCACAAAATCATTCATCATCAATGTGAGTTCAAGAACTTTATCAGATTCTGAATCTCAATTACTAAGCAAAGGGTTATCGTTTTGTCCGGTTCCTCCTAAATATGATCAAGTGAGGGAGCTAAATGACCTTAGAGAATTCCAAAGAAGACTGAGATTGACTGAATTCTTTCATGAGAAACCTTCAAAACAAATTCTTCCACCTTTTCTCTACATTAAGAGTGACTGGTCACCACCAACTGGCAGAGATGATGCATTGGAACTTTTTTGCCTCAGCCAATCTCAAACTGTGAAAAGTCACACAGAAAAAAGAATCCACGATAATCTAACAACGGAAGAAAGATTAGCATTGTCAGCATTAAGGAATGATACAGAAATTGTGATAGGTAAAGCTGACAAAGGAGGTGGTATCGTTATTTGGGACTGACAAGACTACATCAAAGAATGTGAGAAACATCTTCAGGACGAATCAGTGTATCAGAAGGTAGGGAAAGATAATTCTAATGAAATCCATGATCAACTGAAAATTTAATTTATTCATTGAAAATTGATGATAAAGAGAAGGAAGCTATCCTCCATAGACCAGTTAAGACATCAGCCCACTTTTACATTCCTGGCAAAATACATAAAGTTAAAACTACATCAGAAATACCACCTGGCAGACCCATATGTAGTCAGATAACAGCACCCACATATAAGGCATCTCAATGGCTTGACTGGAAATTAAAAGAGGTAGCTCAGGATTACTGTCATGACCTACTTACTCATGATGTTATTAGCCTTTATCCCAACATCATTATATCTGAAGGTCTGGATGCTTTGAAAGATGCTCTGGAGAGAACGAACAACATCAGTCTAGAAGAAAATAATAGCATTCTACAAGTTGCAGACTTTGTTCTGCACAACAATGAATTTGAATTCAATAGGAACTTCTTCAGACAGATGTCTGGGACATCTATGGGGACACCCTTTGCAGTTACATATGCCAATATCTATATGACCTATTGGATGAATAAATTTTGGAATTCTTTATCTGAAAACCAGACATATCCTGCAGATTTATTGATGACATTTGGGCTCAGTCTACTAAATCACCAGAAGAATCTCACAAATTTTTACACAAATTGAATAATCTTCACCCCAAAATTAAATTCACAATGGATATTGACACAGATAAAGTGAATTTTTTAGATGTAAAGTAATTAAAGAGGGTAACAGATTAGAAACTGATCTATTCTGTAAAGAAACAGCAAGCCACCACTATCTACCACCTAGCAGCTGCCATCCTAGACATACTTTTAAATCAATACCTTTCAGTGGTGCACTCAGAATATGAAGAATTTGTAGTAAGAAAGAATGGGAAAACAATAGATTATTTCAATTTGCTAAACATCTGAAGAATTCTGGATATAAAGACCACATTGTAGAACCTGCCTTTAGCAAAGCAAAGGAAAGATCACGCCTTGAACTGCTATTTCCCCAACACCAAGCAGAAGAAGATGAAAAGAAAATGAAGATTATTCCATGGACATCTATGATCCACGACAACCAAATCTACACAAAATGGCCAAAGACACAGATATTTTAAGGACAAGCTACAGAATGACGGACATATTTAAAACAAGGTAAATCATTGTGGCAGGACGCAGGAATAGGACCTTGGGAAATTTATTAAGGGAAAGCAAATTAAATCAGTTTGTAGAAAATGTGAATATTTCTAAAAGTGTGGGATGTGTACCTTGTAATAAACCCAAGTGCAAAACTTGTGAAAAGATTAACACAACTAACACAATTACCAATAGATACTCATTTTATATCAAAGACTCTTTAAATTGTCAGAGTAATTTTGTTATATATTGCCTTACTTGTGAATTATGTAAATTTCAGTATGTTGGCCAGACAATAACCCCCTTCAATATTAGACATAACAAACATAGGAGCAACATTAAATTGAAAAAGGTTCATAAAGCTCCTCATATTGCCCCCCCATTTTAACCAACCTGGTCATGATTATAAATGAACACGTGATCTCATTTAATTTCCGTAATATTCAAGGTTACAATTAAGCTAACACGATACAATGAAGAAAGTCGAAAGATTACCATTCAGCGAATACGATCCAGTGGAGAAGTTCTAAAGGTCACGATTCAGCGAACACGATCCAGTGAAGAAAGTCGAAAGATTACGATTCAGCGAACAAGATCCAGTAGTGAAGTTCCAAAGGTTAAATTTGCGGTCTGCGTTCTACAAAGTCTACGGTAAAAATTAGGTTCTAGAAGACTCAAATTTAAAAAAGTAAATAAGATAGGAGATTAAACACAAAAATACTTTAATTTTATAAGATTAATAATTTCTACCTAAGAAATGACCACGCGATTTTAAGAATTTATACAATCAGATCTGGATTCTATTTTGAACCAAATACAGCGACATAGAACGATGCTATGTTTAGTATTCGCTGGGTGCATAAGATTGTTGGTCTGATGTCACCATCAGAAAATTTCATGGTAAAGCACGTGTATTAGGGAGGGAAGAGAATTTTGAGTCAAACTATTAAGAAGAAAGAAATGGTGACCTTTGATAATCTTAAAAAGTTATATGATTCTTTATTTGATATGACTAATGTATATAATTTAAGAATTATTATTGCACGAACGCCCTGCATTGTTTTCTAACTGTTTATTGTGTTATCGAAATGTCTATTCTTTTTTTTTTTTTTTTCGAAATTTACACACCTTCCTGTGCTTAGACTGCAATAGTTGCAGCAACCATTCAACTTTCCTAGACCTTCTGTAGTGGCAACGTGTTGCATAAATATAAATTGGAACATTTTTGCAAAACCGGAAATGCCACAGTCCAATATGTGCAAAAAGTAGAAAATCGGACCTAAAAGTCGCATTTTCCGGTCGATCTTCTTCGGGTTTTTATTTCTGGAATCTACGTGTAATTTCTGATATAATAGCACTTAAACAACTTCGAAATTCGAAAATTGGTCGCACACTTTTTTCGGCCGAATTTTGCAATTTTTTAACAAAAAAAAAAACTTTTTAGCTTTTTGTCTGATTAATCTAAAAAAATTTGAGCAAAAACAATTTATGAACGTGAACAAAATTGTATAGTCAAATTTTTTACTTTACTTCCGGTTTAAACGGGAAATCGATTCTCACTTCCGGTTGAACTACTTCCGGTGTAATTAATTTAGCGCGACGAAACTTATATGAATCGATAGCCAAAGTTATGACAAAAAAACGAAGAATATAAAATCCGGTCCGAAGGTAATATTTTGGTCGCCATTTTGATTTTTCTGAAATGCGTCAGAATCTATTCAGAGATAATGGCTTATCCGATTTTGATGATTTTGGTGTCAAATGAAAGAAAATAAAAATTAAAAAAAAACTGTGGGAGCCGATTTTTGAATTTCGCTTTTGCTTTTTTGCAATTTCCGATTGAATTTTTTTGAAGTTTGAAGGCTCATCTATCATGACCTAGACCTTTGATGACCTTGACCTTCATTGGGTCAAAGGTCATTGACCTTGGCTATCAGCTGATACTTTCATATTCGACCTCCGACATCTACTTCCGTTTTTATGGATGTCTAAAAACAGCCAAATTCGCAAATTTGGACTGCTCTAGCACGTGACCTAATTATCCTAGAGGGTTAATTTTTTCGGATTCTTAATGTGCTCTTCATACTCTTTCTAACGATATATCACAAAAGTTTTTAAAATCATAATTGAAATTCGCACTTTTTTGATATTTGAGTGTTTTTTACAATATTTTTGTGTTTTTGAGCTTAGTGTATGTATATCTTTTGACCTATTTGATGTAGAAGTTTGAAATTTATAACACTACTAGACATTTTGAAAATGAATTAAATCATGACAAAAAAGTTCAGGTGGGCGTGGCACATCCGCGTTAAATTGCTAGTTGTTCAAGTCTGGGGCAGGGGCATAACTTGCATAGTCTACATTTGTTCAATAAGGGACCTTGCACACAAATACCTCATCTGTTTGGCCATTTTGTGTTTAAAGGACAGTTGTTTCAGATTTATAGTTCAAAAAAAGGAACGGGTTTTAGAATTTCCATATTTTCATTTTTTGGCATTGACCTTTGATGACCTTAACGTTTGTAGGGTCAATGGTCATTAACCTTGGTTATCTATTTATACTTTCATATTTGATGTCGCTATGTCAACTTCCGGTTTTATAGTCGTGTGCAATTAGAAATTTTGATGACGTATATCTCTTGATCTTGACCTTTTTAGACCTTCTCCTTTACAAGATCAAAGGTCATTGACCTTGGCTATCTGCTGATACTTTCATTTGTGAGGTCTGACGTCTACTTCCGGTATTAGAATCTTCTAAAAAATGAAAATTTCTCAACTTTAGACTTTTCTTACACATGATCTAATTATCGTGGAAGGTTGATTTTTTTCGGGGTCTTTTGCAATTTGCTACATTTGCAAAGTCCCACTCTGTGCCACGAGTGGCTCTAGTTTTTTATTTTTTTTTCTTCATCCATGGAGCTTAGTTCTCGGAAACGGCAACGGCCAAACAGATTTCACCATGTTTTCTAACCTGTGGAGAATTGTGGAATGAATGTAAAACGAAAATTTTCTGAGCAACATGAAGTGACGCTAGCAACAAACAGAAAATCGCCTCTAGAGGGCATGTTTATCAACCGATTTTGATCGGGTTTCTTTCATTGTATTTCTTGCAACAAAGGGCAAATGATAGCAGTTAAAAATTTTCGATTTTTGAAAATTTGTTGCATACATTTTTTTGCCGAAATTAATCGAAAAATACTATTTCGGTTATTATTTGGCGGATTGACTTGAAACTTACATAGTGTAGACCGCCAGCAAAGTGGAATAAAAGCACACATTCAAAATTTTTTCATTACTTCCGATTTCGATGTTAGTACTTCCGGTGGCGTCACTTCCGGTGGAATTGATTTATGTCAAAAGTAACATATGCATTATATTACCAGCCTTAATACAAACCTTTTAAACTAAAAAAAATCGTACCGGAAGTAACATGTTTGTCGCCATATTGGTTTGCCTCATTTTTGCCCAAATCGATTCCCAGAATTCATTTTTAATCCGATTTGCGTAACGTTTGTGTCAAACGATCTGTTCAATGTTTGTCTACAAATGATAGGAAGCATAATTTTGATTTTCTGTTTTGCCTTTTTTGTACGACCGGATTGTTTTTTTCAAAGTTTGAAGGCATATATCTCATGACCTTGACCTTTGATGACCTTCATATTTACTGTGATGATAATTTGTGACCTTGTCTATCTGATGACCTTTTAAACTTTGGGGTCAGATACCTATTTCCGATTTTACAGGGGTCTAAATATGGACCATTTTGAGCCTTTAAAGTGCTGTATCCTGGGCAATAATTCTTTCGATTTTGTAATGTAGAGATTCTCAGCTTTCCATAGATATATAACATGCATACCTTACATGCAAATTCAAAACTCCATTCACTTAACATGGGACTATTATTAGATAAATCGGCTAATTAGATTAACCTGGCTGTCAACCCCAACAGAAATCAAATTTTAAGTTGTTTTAAAGATACCCTGCCTTTTATATTTCTTAAAAATTATCTTTGTCCAGTTATGGTATAAAATTAAGCTCTCAGGTGGATTGAATCATGTCATATTTTAGTTTAAGCTCACGGCAGCATATTGAAGGTATACCTCCACTTAATTTACCAACTATCTCATTTCTTATCCGATTTTCATGAAACTTGGTATGTATGTGTATAATTAAATTCTAAATTTGATGGAGTTATCGAATTTGCGTAGTGCGCATGCGCATTGCCAACTTTCTTATTTACTATCCGATTTTCATCAAACTTGGTATGTATGTGTATAATCAAATTCTAAATTTGATAGAAACATCGAATTTGCGTAGTGCGCATGCGCATTGCCAACTTTCTTATTTACTATCCGATTTTCATCAAACTTGGTATGTATTTGTATAAACAAATTCTAAATTTGATAGAAATATCGAATTTGCGTAGTGCGCAGGCGCATTGCCAACTTTCTCATTTACTATCCGATTTTCATCAAACTTGGTATGTATGTGTATAATCAAATTCTAAATTTGATGGAATTATCGAATTTGAGTAGTGCGCATGCGCATTACCAACTTTCTTATTTCTTATCCGATTTTCACCAAATTTGGTATGTATGTGTATAAACAAATTCTAAATTTGATGGAATTATCGAATTTGCAAAGTGCGCATGCGCATTGCCAACTGTCTTATTTATTTTCCGATTTTCATTAAACTTGGCATTTATGTGTATAAACAAATTCTAAATTTGATGGAATTATCGAATTTGCGTAGTGCGCATGCGCATTGCAAACTTTCTTATTTATTATCCGATTTTCATCAAACTTGGTATGTATGTGTTTAATTCAATTATAAATTTGATGGAATTATTGAATTTTTGTTGAGCGCATGCACATTACCAACTTTCTTATTTCATCAAACTTAGTCTTTATTAATTGACAAATATTCTTTTATTCCTAGTAAATATACTTTAGCTCCAGGCACTTTTGGATATTTGCATTTAGAGATGCAGAAAGGTATTTACATAAAGTAATTGCAATAGACCATCTTCGTATGTACCTGAATGTTGTAACCCGCCCTGCATCAGTACTGTTATTAGAACAGTTCTAGTTATTTCTTTGTTATGTTATGGTGGATTCTTTCAAATATCTGAAGTGTTAAATTTATGAAGATGTGGGGTCAAATTTATATGTCGATTTTCCTTGAAAAATCTAAAACTGCTGTATACAGGGATGGGGCTTGGGTTGTTATTTCGAAAGGAGAAACAAATCTTTGTCCTGTGGTTAATCTCTTAGTTTATCTTAAAGCTGCTAATATACATAATGATAGTGATTTTTTATTTCGTTCTTTAGCGAAACCTAAAACTGATTATGTTTTAAGAAATATAGCTAAACCTATTTCATATACACAGATACGAGAACAGTTTATATCAGCATTTAAACCATTTGTTGCTATTATGGATTGCATGGTCTCCGGGTTGGAGGGGCATTGGCTGCTGCAAATTTTGGAATAACAGACCGTTTGTTTAAACATCATAGCATTGGGAATCTGATAGGGCTAAAGATGGCTATGTGAAGGATAGTGTATCTAGACATTTGACTGTATCTAAGAATTTGGGTTTATAATTGTGTGTATAATTATTTAGTTGTTAAATGTGATTTATGTAGCATACGTTTCCTGTTTTTTAGTGTTCATCTGCTCGGTAATGTCATCGATATACCAATATGGTGTTTGTTTTTGATTTAATGTAGGGGTCAACAAGATGGAAGTCTGGTTTAAATGAGAACATGAGTTTCAGCGATCTGTTGAATATGCTTTGAGTTTAAACAACATACATCTAGTTATATATGGTAGGAAATAATGTTACTTTGCGCAACAGGTTTTAGCGTAAAATTAAAACTGTTACACACTACTACAGAACCATGCGAAGCCTGTGGGTCTAGTTATAATTGGAATTTTTAAGTTAAGTGCATATAAAAAAAGTTATTTAAAATGTTCTAAAAAGAAAAAAAACACTCACGAAAGAAATCTTTTTTCGCTAAATTCTTGGCACATAATACTGCAAGAGAAGAAGAAATACAAGTTATATTTAGTGACTTTTCCTACACCGACTGGCAGCTTTGATTTTAAATAAAATATTTGGCAGTACAGTAACAATCACCAGTACTAGAGCTGTGAACACCTCCAAGCATCCCATGGCTTTTGAACCTTTTGCCTGTTAGTTCTAGCCTGTTAGTTTTCAACTCCATCGCTATTAAAGGGACATTCCGCTTTTTTGTAAAAAGTTTTCATTATCAAAAACGTTGTAAATTATACCTGAAAATATTTGTGCAAGTATACATCCACATGAAATGAGGGGCATATGTCATCAACCCTGTCCGTCCATCCACATACAATATCTACCGATGATGTCGGCTTTCTACAATGGGATGGCCGATTTCTACCGATTCAACAAAATATCTATCATTACATTAATTTTGATTGCCGGTAACACGCGTTAATCTCATCACGTAATAATATTATCATTGCCTGATTAATAAATCCCCTAATCAGATCTATTTTCACCCGATAATGTGTATTTCAAGCCCATGTGACATTGTTTTTATAACAAGATTCGATAGATTCTACTTTCGTTTTTACAATAAATTTTACAGTAGCCCTAATTTTACATAATAACGAAATCTGGAAGTTTTCATTATATTATAATAACTGTCAATTCTATGAGATCTAAAACAAATGTAGGCATCGTTACAGGATGTCAAACTTCGTTTCATAAAATTGTTTTGCATAACAGGCTTACTTATTACAAGTCATTCCATATCTTTAGAGTGTCAAAATGAAAGTGGCAAATTCAGTTCAATACTTCGTGAGGGTGTTTCTGGAAAACTATTTTTCCTTTCATACTATGCAAGTAATGATTGAACTGGAGATATTTTTAGAAGGCATGAATAACACCTTTTGAAAAAGTAACATTGTCAGTACTTATGGTATTTACGATTGCTTTCAGAACATATTGATTTTTTAATATCGGTATTACATGTATGCATTTAGGCTTACCGGTAAAGAATTGTGCCTTCTAGAGTGTTTACGAGTAATTGTGGACGGACGGATGGACATGGGGCATATGAAAATAATGAAAGTAAGAAAATGATTAGCTGATATAAATAGACATCTTTTATTGTCCAATCAGTACTTCTCATTCTTCTTGGATATACTTCAATATGACTTCTTCTTAAATTTAATTTAATTATCTATTGTTTCAAGGCTTTAGCGTTCCTCAAGAGACATCAGGAATATAAGTAATCCCTTTATGAATGACGTAAACATTTCTAAGCGAGTTGTTATCAACTGTAAGTTTGTATTGCAGGTGAGAAAACGGTGAAATTTAGTCGTAAATAGCCCATTTTTCAATGCAATTTTTCAATTTTTCAAAAAGTTGTCAAATATTCGAAAGCAAATCAAATAGTCGAATGGTCAAAATCACCATTAGTGTGAGTAATATGTGAATCCAGTTTTATGGTTTATTTTTGGCCATGTTCATGCTGCCGTATGCAATATGTTGGACAAAATACCACCCTTTTCAGCATTAGATATAACAAGCACTGGTAATAACATTAAACTTAACAGTGCAGATAAAGCCCCTAGAGTAGCACCTCATAATACACCTGGACATTCTTTTAAAACCACTATTCGGAAGAAAATTTATAATGCAGATAAAAGAAGATAGCTTGCGTTGCAAGGTAACATACGCCCACTGGCAGCTGTCAGAAATAATAAAACAGTCTTTAGTGACTAAAGTACAAATTTTCTCATATTGAAGAAATTATTTATGCTGAATAATTCCACAAAATTTTTTAAAATCAATATCAATAACCCAAATACAACTAACAATTAAATCACACAGCTCTAATCAAGGGCAAAAAACAACTTTTGACGCATGTTTAAAAAGTCAAGGGCAATAACTCAAAAAATGTTCATCAAAAATATCTCTTGTTAGAACTTGTCTGAGATCTTATCAATTCCAATGATCACCCCAAGTTTCATCAGAATCGGTTGAAAACTGTGATCAATGATCACACCAAGTTTCATAAGAATCAGTTGAAAACTGTAGCTTCTATTGTGCTCACGAACAAATTTTGGCGCGTTTTTACAAAGTCAAGGGCAATAACTTGAAAACGGTACATCAAAAATGCATCAAGATAGAACTTGTCCGAGATCTTATCGATTCCAATGATCACACCAAGTTTCATCAGAATCGGTTGAAAACTGTAGCTTCAATCCTGCTAACGAACTATTTTTAACAAATTTCGACGCGTTTTAACAAAGTCAAGGGCAATAACTCAAAAACCGTTCATCGAAAATGCGTCAAGTTAGAACTTGTCCAAGATCTTATCAATTCCAATGATCACACCAAGTTTCATCAGAATCCGTTGAAAACTGTAGCTTCAATCCTACTCACGAACTATTTTTAACAAATTCCGACGCATTTTAACAAAGTCAAGGGCAATAACTCAAAAACCGTTCATCGAAAATGCGTCAAGTTAGAACTTGTCCGAGATCTTATCAATTCCAATGATCACACCAAGTTTCATCAGAATCGGTTGAAAACTGTAGCTTCAATCCTGCTCACGAAATATTTTTAACAAATTTCAAGGCGTTCTAAGTCAAGGGCAATATCTCAAAAACCGTTCATCGAAAATATGTCAAATTTGAACTTGACCAAGATCTTATCAATCTAAAGCATCACACCAAGTTTTATCAAAATCAGATTAAAACTGTAGTCTCTATAGTGCTCACAAGAAATGTTGACGGACGGACCGACTGACAGGGGCGACGACAATATACGACCACATATTCATGTGGGCGTGATACATTTGGATTCATAAACTTAACACAGTTTGGCCAGGAGGAATAAATTAATACAATCCTGATACAATGAAAAATTCTCAAAGTAACCAAGGCATCAGAATTTCTATGATGTCATTATTATAACAGTCATTTACTTTCCTAATTGTGTTGGTTTTGGAATCCCCGAGGAAGTATGTTTTTCAGACGTTTTATTTAAATTCTATTTCTTTCGTTTTAGGATTTAATTATTATCATTCCAAAGATTGCCTGGCAGCTAGTAACAATCACCAGTATGAAATATTCAACCTTCAGTCATGCACTTCTTTTGAACTATTTTGGGCAGTACTGAATAATATTACCAAGTTTTGTCAAAATCCGGCAAGAATTGTGCCTTTAATTGATTACGAGCTAAATATTGAAAGTGCTTTCAATAACTAATATAAAACAAGTTTCGTCAAAATCTGTCAAGAATTGTGCCTTCTAGAGTGTTTACAAGCATTTCAAAAACAAGAGCAATAACTCATACTAATTATTTTTCAATTTTTATGATTTTCAATAGGGTTTGTCGAAACCCGTAATATCCGCGCTGTTTCAAGTATGTCGTCAAAGTGAATTTAACAAATCAAATCGTCAACGAGGCCTGACCTTCTGGGCCACTATCTGAAAATCTTGACAATTTTCCCGATCTCTGCGAACAATTTTTCAGCAAAATGGGATTCATAAAAAGTCCTCATTGACAGACGAGAATTTGGTAAATGCACTGAGAGTAGCTGGTTCAACCATTCAACCTAACATGGAAAGAGTTATTCAAAATATCCAATTCCAAACATCTCATTGGTCATGAAAATATCCTTGAGTAAGTGCGATTTGAAACAGCAATTTTACGTCAAATATGTAATGCACATGGCCTACACGCATCCCCCAAATCTGGCCTGCCGTAGCGGAAAGGTTGCACAGGCCTGTTCTAGAGTGTTTACGAGCATTTGTGGACGGACGGACATGGGGGACGACAATATACGCCCCCATTTCATATTGTAATTTTAATCTTAACTGCCTTCCATCATTTGTAGTTTGTTTCTTCCTCTGATGAAGTCAAAACTATTTTGACAAAACATTGGGTATTAATTTGACAATAATATAAGCCAGAACCACTCGTTTATTAGGTCACATGCTAAAGCAGTCAAAAATTTGTGTAACCGATGTATTAGTCAGTCATCAAATCTGAAAGAATCAGCAGATTGCCAAATTCAATGACCTTTGACCTTGTTAAGGGAAGGTCAATAAAGGTCAAGATCACTCGATATCAGTTATCAGACTTTGAAAATACAAACGGTAGAAAACCGGAAGTTGATGATGTACATCAAGTATGAAGGTATTAATCTGTAGCCAATGTCAATGAAAATAGGTATAGCTAGGGAGCTGAAACAACTGACTTTTTTACAAAAACTGGCCAAGAAAGTAAGGTATTGGGTGAAAAGTTTGTGTTTTGAACAAATCATCAAATTTAGAATTTTATCATGCGCATACATACCAAGTTTGATGTAGAAAGTAAGTTATGCGTACAACAAAAATTCAATATTTCCATCAAATTTAGAATTGGATTATACACATGCATGCCAATTTTGATGAAATTAGGGTAAGAAATTGGTAAGTTAGTGATGCGCATGCGCACAACAAAGATAGCTTGCCAGGCAAGGTAACATACGCCCACTGGCAGCTGTCAGAAATAATAAAACAGTCATTAGTGACTAAAGTATGAATTTTCTCATAATGAAGAAATTTTAATAGTTTGAATTCAATGATATATATATTTACTGCCAGTTATTTTACAACAAATTATTGCATTAATATACATGATCACACCATGTTTCATTAAAATCAATTAAAAACTGTAGTCTCTAATGTGTTCACAAACAAATTTTGATGCGTTTTTCATAAGTCAAGGGCAATAACTCAAAGGCTGTTCATTAAAATATCATCAAATTCGAACTTGTCCAAGATCTCATCAATATCAATGATCACAGCAAATTTCATTAAAATCACTTGAAAACTGTAGTCTATTTTGTGTTCACAAACAAATTTTGACACGTTTTTCCTAAGTCAAGGGCAATTACTCATAAAATGTTCATCGAAAGATCGTCAAATTTGAACTTGACCAAGATCTCATCAATATAAATGATCACACCAAATTTCATTAAAATCAGTTGAAAACTGTAGTCTCTATTGTGTTCACAAGAAATGTTGACGGACCAACAGACCGACAGACAGGGGCGACGGAAATTTACGTCCACATTTCCATTCTTGGCAAAATACATAAAGTTAAAACTACATCAGAAACTCCACCTGGCAGACCCATATGTAGTTAGATAACAGCTCCTACATATAAGGCATATCAATGGCTTGACTGGAAATTAAAAGAGGTAGCTCAGGATTACTGTTATGAAGTTGTCAGAGACACCAGTTTTTTCCTTCAAAAAATCCAATCTCTCAACCAATGGGAACTTCCTCAGACAGATATCTGGGACATCTATGGGGACACCCTTTGCAGTTACATATGCCAATATCTATATGACCTATTGGATGAATAAATTTTGGAATTCTTTATCTGAAAAACCAGACATATCCTGCAGATTTATTGATGACATTTGGGCTCAGTCTACTAAATCACCAGAAGAATCTCACAAATTTTTACACAAATTGAATAATCTTCACCCCAAAATTAAATTTACAATGGATATTGACGCAGATAAAGTGAATTTTTTAGGTGTAAAAGTAATTAAAGAGGGTAACAGATTAGAAACTGATCTATTCTGTACAGAAACAACTGCCACCACTATCTACCACCTAGCAGCTGCCATCCTAGACATACTTTTAAATCAATACCTTTCAGTAGTGCACTCAGAACACAAGAATTTGTAGTTAGAAAGAATGGGAAAACAATAGATTATTTTAATTTGCTAAACATCTGAAGAATTCTGGATATAAAGCCCACATTGTAGAACCTGCCTTTAGCAAAGCAAAGGAAAGATCACGCCTTGAACTGCTATTTCCCCAACACCAAGCAGAAGAAGATGAAAAGAAAATGAAGATTATTCCATGGACTAACACCTATGACCCACGACAACCAAATCTACAAAAGATAGCTTGCGAGGCAAGGTAACATACGCCCACTGGCAGCTGTGAGAAATGATAAAACAGTCTTTAGTGACTAAAGTACGAATTTTCTCATATTAAAGAAATTTTATTAGTTTAAATTCAATTACATAAATTTATGCTGAGTAATTCCACAAAATTTTTTAAAATCAATATGAATAACCCAAATACAACGAACAATTAAATCACACAGTTCTAATCAAGGGCAAAAAACTTTTGACGCATGTCTACAAAGTCAAGGGCAATAACTCAGAAAAAGTTCATCAAAAATATCTCAAGTTAGAACTTGTCCGAGATCTTAT